CCGCTGCTTGCACCCCCCCTGCCGCCTGCCTGCCGCCCTGCAGCCCATGCTGCTGCCGCGTCCCCTGCAACCTGCAACCTGTCCCTTATGCCTCCCCGCCCCTCGCCCGCCTCACCTCCCCGCCCCCGCCCCTACCCCCTGCCTGCCTTGCCCGCAGCCACCCTGCCGCCGCTCACAAACGTGCTGGGACCTCTGGAGGCGGACCTTCTGGTGGAGGACTACTTCATCAGGTGGGGGTGGGGTGGGGTGGGGTGGGGTGTGGTTGTTGTTTCTTGTGTGTATTTGTGTCGTGTGTGGCATGCGTGTTTTGTTGTTGTTGTATATGTGTGTGTGTGTGTGTGTGTGTGTTGATTTGGGCAGAGGCACCGTGTGGGTGGATACGGCGCTGGTAGTGTGATGCCTGAGGACTGCTCCGTCGGGTGTGGGGCGGGAAGACAGGCGGTTCGGACAGTCGCGGCGGTGTTTTCTGCATGCGCGCCCCGCCGCTCCGCTGCCGACCCCCCTGTGCCGCCTGCCGCTCCGGTCTGACCTCCGCCTGCCCCTCTGCCCGGCCTTGCCCCGTCTTGCCTTGCCCCGCCCCGCCCCCCCTGCAGCTGGCTGCCCACCAACTCCTCCTCTGGAGAGCTGTGCCAGATGACCAGCGCGGGGGAGCTGCCAGAAGCATTCCTGCTGGTGAGCGGCTGTTCTGCGGTGGCTGGCTGGCTGACTGGCTGCACTGGGCTGGGCTGGCTGGCTGGCAGCCGTTTTCGAGGCGCCGCCGCCGCTCTGTCCTGCTCCTGCTGCTCTGCACGCTCCGCTGCCATGGCCCCGCCCTCCTCCTGCCACCTGGGCGCCCGCCCGCTGCGCCACGCCCGCCCGCGTGCACTGCCCGCTGCCCGCCTTCCTGCCTGCCACCTGCCCTGACACACTGCCATTGCTGTACCGCGTGCCCCAAGCACTCCGCTGCCTGCCCTGCCCACCCTGTGCGGCACGTGCCTCAAGCACTCCGTCACCTGCCCTCCCCACCCACGCCGCCCCACAGGGAGACTTCCAGGATTTGGTGGGCTATGAGGAGGACTGCACGCCAGAGACGCTGCCAGAGGTGGGCGGCGGCGAGCTGGTGGCCTTCTGAAGCGCAAGCGCAAGCTCCTTCCCCAACCTAGCCCCGCCAGCGCGGCCCCGTTTGTTGTGGCCGGCCCGGCCTCCTAGGCAGCACACGCAGCCGCCAGCCAGCAAACACAGTAGCGAAGCGAACAGCAGCACCGTAGTCAGCAGCAGCACCAAGCAGCAGCATCAGCTTACCTACCTAGGCAGGGAACCCAATCCGCCCTGACGACTCGGCGGCGGCGGGAGCTGGATGGACGGATGGGCGGCGGCGTGTTGCGCATTTTGGGCCGGCCCGGCCTTGGCCGGAGACCCTCGGCCCATGCACAGCCTGCCCCCTGAAGCTTCCATAATGCTCCCGACCCGCCTTTACTCAGATTCCAGCCCCGGTGCCAATTGCACCACCACACTGCCCCAATCCCCCTGCATCCTGTCCCCACATCTGTCCCAGGCGCCTGCCCACGCCGCCGCCACCGGCTGCCATCGTGGCCGCCTGCCTTCACACCCCACCCTACCGTACACCGCTCGCTAGCAGCTGTGCAGAGGTTCCGTCTTGTGCTCTATCTTCTCTACTCCTCCCAACCCCAACCCACTCCCAACCCGCCGAGCACTGGGCAGCCATGTGGTGGCTCCCCGCCTCCCCACACGACTCTGCCCTGCCTCTTTCGTTCCCTCCCCACCCCCAATGTGCTTTGTCTTGTTTTGGCAGCCTCCAGGCTGCTGCTCTCCTTCAGCACACCACCACGTTTCTTGCTTGCGCTCCATCCTCACCATCGGTCTGTGCATGCCCTTTGCCCCACCTCCCTGCCAGCGCCAGC